GGGGCTTGAACCCACCACCCTTGGTATATGGGGCCGGTGCCCTACCCACTGAGCCACAGGCACCCCCCCCCCTTTTTTTGAGACAGAATCTCACTCTGTCACCCTGGGTAGAGTGTGGTGGCATCATAGCTTACAGCAACTTCAAATTCTTTGGCTCAAGAGATCCTCTTGCCTTAGTCTCCGAGGTAGTGAGAAGTACAGGCACACTCCAACATGCCCAGCTATTTTTTTAAATTTTTATTTTTTTGCTAAGGTGGGGTCTTCCTATATCACTCAGGGTGATCTGAAACTCTTGGCCTCAAGAGATCCTCCATCCTTGCCTCTCAAAATGCTGAGTTTACAGGTATGCACCTGGCACAACTGGAGATTTTATAGAGATTGTTCACTTTGTTCTCCAGTCTGGATTTTCTCTCATCGTCTGTCTCTTTGCAATCTTTCATTCACCTTACAGTTCTGTGTTCTGAGCGGAAACTAAAAGTCAAATGAGGTGAAATGATTTGCTCGATTGGGACAAATAGCTTTGGGAATCCATAAGGTAGCTGCTGAACTATAGTTAGACAAGTGTTACTGCGCTGATAGATCTTTCAACACTCTTACCAAAAATTCTAGGAGTGCAAACAACTTTATTTCATTTATGTGTTTATTTATTTTGTTGAGACAGAGTATCACTTAGTCGCCCTGGGAAGACTGCCATGGCGTCCTAGCTCACAGCAATGTCAAACACTTGGTCTCAGGTGATCCACTTGCCTCAAGCCTCCCCACTAGCTGGGTGTACAAGAGCCCCCACCACGCCCAGCTACTTTTTCTATTTTTAGTAGAAATGGGGGTCTTGGTCTTGCTCTGGCTGGTCTCGGACTCCTGAGGTCAAGCCTCGGCCTCCTAAAGTAAATCCAAACAACTTTTAACAGACAGCAACCGACAGAGAAAATGGCAGAGGCACAGGATATCTTATTCCAAGATTTGTAATCTGGGTTTGTTTGTTTATGCCTTGAACAGGAGTAGGACCTGGCGTTTAAACTGAGTTGTTTTTCGGCGCTCGACTGTAGTTCCTTGAGCGATTGCTTGGGCGCTCATCCTTTGATGCCTGGGACGTTCGTGTATTCGGTGATCTTTGCGCCGTCTTCTTGGTTGATGTCTCCTGAGCGGCGGCGGCACCAGGTCTAGGGCTGAATTATCCGCGAGGCTCGCGCTTAGGCCGCTTTATCCCGCCGGTCGGTGGAGCGGACCCCTTGTTTCCTTTCTGCTTCTTCCTTCCTTCTGTCTGTGGCTCAGCTCTCCCGCCTGGAAACAGCTGCAAACAGAGCTCCCGCCCGCTTTGCAGGTAGGCCCAGGAGGAGCCTTGGAGGCCTGGCCCGGCATCCTTCTGCCGTGGGGTTGAGAAGACCTTGGCGCCTGCGGGTGGGCAAGCGTGCGGGCAACCCAGACACAGGCAGAGGAGAAACTGCCGGGCTGAGTTCAGGGGCGCGGCCGGAGGGACGGCCCGGAACTAAGGGAGAAGCCGGAAGGAGGGAAAGATGCTGGGGCTGCCCGCTGTGTTTCTGTAGAGAGGGGTGATGTTAGGTTTTGGGCGGGTGTCGGCACCCCCTCAGTGTGTGGGGAAAACCACTTTCCAGGGACTAATAGAGCTTTGCGTACTTTGACCCTCCTCTCTTTCTGCTTTTTCCACTCCTAAGGCTCCGGGTGTCATGAGTCAATTACACTGGGGACCCGGGCTGACCCTTGCCTTTTGAGTAGGTGGAGGTGTGTGGAACAGGACCCTCTAGCTTCTCTGAGCGAAGTGTCATGTTCTTACCTTTTTTGGGTAGGGAAACTGAGGCTGAGGTGTGGCGCGTGACTTTTTCCCATATCCCCGACAGATCTTAAATACACCGTAAATCACTTTTTGTCATTTACCAATTCACTTTCCCCTCCATTTTAGCGGTTACTTTATGCGCGGTGATTTGTTGTTTGATTGCATGTGATCCCTCTTTCTCAGAAATACAGAGTCTGTTACTGGAGGCTTCAGAAGTAAAGGGATCATGTGACCTTTTGGCTGGTTTTGCTTTTCAAAATCTGTATCGTTTTAATGCGAGTAGTAACGACAGTTTCTTTTTGTTTCTTGATAATTTTGTTTGTTGTCTAGTTTGTTTTCCTGGTTGATTCTGATTTCTCCTCCTTCTCGGCCTCCCCTCTGAAAGTCTTTCAACTATGTTGTTTGTGGTTAGTGTCTGATAGTCAATTTTTTTTTTGGCCTGGGCTGGGTTTGAACCCGCCACCTCCGGGGTATGGGACCAGCGCCCTACCCTTTTGAGCCACAGACGCCGACCTGATAGTCAAGATTTTGAAGTCAAATGCTTGTCCTGTGAGGGTCTGTTTTGTAGGAATATCCAAAGGAAATTCAAGGAGTTTAAATTGAAGGTTAACATTTTGGGAACTCCATTGTTTCCCTTTCCTTTATTAGCTTGGAAACTTTGGTAACTAAGTGTTGTTACTCATTTTATTTTCATCAGATTCAGTATCATGATCCTACACATGATCCTTGGTCTCAGAAAAGGATAGATAATTAAGAGTCGATAGATTATCTTTATGGAGAATCTAGATTGGGAAGTTAAGAATGTGTAGTGGGCGCCGCCTGTGGCTCAGTGAATAGGGCGCCAGCCCCATATACTGAGGGTGGAGGGTTTGAACCCGGCCTTGGCTAAACTGCAACAAAAAATAGCCGGGTGTTTTGGTGGGCGCCTCCCTACTTAGGAGTCTGAGGCAAGAGAATCGCTTAAGCCCAGGAGTTGGAGGTTGCTGTGACCTGTGACAGCAGAGCACTCTACTGAGGGTGAGAAAGTGAGACTCTGTCTCTTTAAGAAAAAAAAAAAAAAGGAACGTGTATTATCTGGAAAAGTTGTTATGGTGTGAGAGAATGTGTATCAGAGGAAAGAATTTAGAGAGGGGAGTGACATTGTCTACTGGGAATTGATAGGTTCTGTATAGAATTGAGTGTTGCAAGTAGTTATCAGTGGTTACTAATAAAGGCTGAATAATATGAATGGAGATTGCTATGAGTGTCATGAAAAACATTTTTTTTTTTTTTTTGAGACAGAGTCTCACTATGTTGCCCTCAGTAGAGTGCTGTGGCGTCACAGCTCTCCGCAACCTCCAACTCTTGGGCTTAAATGATTCTTTTGCCTCAGGCTCTCAAGTAACTGGGACTACAGGTGACCACCACAACGCCCAGCCATTTTTTTGGTTGCAGTTATCATTATCGTTTGGCAGGCCCAGGCTGGGCTCAAACCTGCCTGTTTTGGCGTATGTGGCCGGTGCCCTACCCACTGAGCTACAGGTTCTGCCAGAAATCTTAGTATTCTGTTTCTGTAGGAAATGGCAGAGGTGTAAGTTGAATCCAGGCAGACAAGGAATTTGCTGGAAATGGTGGGATGTTATAAAGATAGAGCTTCTTGTGGCTCAAGTGGCTAAGGCACTAGCCACATACACCTGAGCTGGCAGGTTGGAATCCAGCGCAGGCCCGCCAAACAACAATGACGGCTGCAACCAAAAAATAGCAGGGTGTTGTGGCAGGTGCCTGTAGTCCCAGCTACTTGGAAGATGGAGGCAAGAGAATCACTTGAACCCAGGAGTTGGAGGTTGCTGTGAGCTGTGATGCCATGGCACTCTACCTAGGGCGACAACTTGAGGCTCTGTCTCAAGAAAAAAAACAAAAAACAGAGCTTCTTAGCAGCTTTTCCCATCTTTTGTGATATTATTATTTGAGATGGGGATTTTTCTCTGTTGCCGAGGCTAGAGTGCCATGGCATCAGTATAACTCACTGAACCTTAAACCTTAAATTCCCTGGCTCAAACGATCCACTTGCCTCAGGCTCCCAAGTAGCTGGAACTGTAGGTGTGTGCCACACTCATTTGGCTAATTGGCTTTTTTTTTTTTTTTTTTTTTT